AATCTGTGACACAAAACCAAATGAATTGCTCCATGTAGGCACTGAGTCTTCAAACACGACATCACTGCAGTTACATCTAGAAAGAAATAGATACATCATGTGCACATGGATGTTCCTGTTGGGACACAAAGAGTGGCAGTATTTTGTTTTAATGTTCACATCATAGGGTCAGGCCTCAGCTTTGCCACCAGTAAGGAGACTCCCGGGCTCTGACTTACCCTAGTAAACTCACCAAGGACTAATGCATGTAACCTGTGAGGCAGGTTCATCCTTTCTGTTCCACAGGAGGTCCTTAGCTATGTACTAAAGAGGAGAAAGTCAGGGAATTTATCTATATTGTCTCTGTTGATTATCTTTCCCATCTAATCATTCTAATATTGGGGTAGGCAGGTAACCATTAAACTTTTATGATCCCATTCTAAGATCTCCTTTCCATTTTCCCTCAGATGAAAGACACGCTTAGCATCTGAATTGCAGAGAAGGATTACGCAGTTCTTATGCTGAAGGTTTCAACTCTACCAAAGATTATAGAGAGTCACAGGAGAGGTTAGGAGCTATGTCTTTGTTTAGGTCATTTCTTTTCTTACACCAAAAGGAAACAAGTGCAATATTTCACTGCATAGGTTTTAATTAGAAGTGTCTACTGGACAATCCCCAGTTCCCTTAGCTCTCCCAGTTCTCATCAGTGTCTCTCCAGTGAAGCTACAATCACTTTTACTCCTAACATTCCTAAAGAGAACCTACAACTAGGTCTGTGCCCTGACTGGGAATCAAACCTGCAACAGGACAGCTCCCCAACCAACTGAGCCACCTGGCCAGGGCTTGTCAACTTTCTTAAAAAATAAACATTTTCAATATTTGGCCAAAAGAAGGCCATGTAGGTTCTTGGCTAGCAGGACGGTTGTTGCACACTAGGACTGTCACCTTCTCCAGGATGGTAGTTGATATCTTTTTTTCAACTTATTTTTATATTAAAAATTTAAAAATGAACGCTCCAACTGAGACAGGATAGTAAAAAGCTATGAAAATTCCTTGGCAAGTGGAATGGGGAAACAGCTGAACACACTGGCTGAGCAATTTACAGCCAGACAGAGAAGGTCACCAGGGCAGAAAGCCACTGGTGCCTAGCAATGGGCAAAACTGGCATATCCTCCCTTGGCAAATCACTGACCATGTGGTTTAGATCCCTGTGACCTTTCATATCACAAGTCTTGGGGTGTAGACACCCTTCCACCCACCCCCCCCCCCTCCACAACCACCCCCCCACACACACCTTTCCTCCCTGGAGATAATATCTAGGCCTCAGTTGTATTTCGGCTCCAGGCCGAGCAAAACAAGGTAGGCAATGCTAGGACCAACTGTGATAACTAGTGACCCCCTGCCCTGATGCCGACCAATCAGTGGAGCCACGACCTGAAAGGATACCTGGAAAAGCTGACGGATATTCTACTGAGATCCTGCCCTAAGACCTCCCCTAAATTCCCAACCTTTAAAACCCTCAAGATGGAGGACCCTGCTCCTACTCTCCCGCCCTCCTGGGAGCACAACAGCACCTTTCTCTTTTCCCTCTTCTTCCCGCATAGGTGTGCATCTCCTAAGCTCTAAGGCAGCAGTTGCCAGCCTTTCGGACCTCACAGGCCATCAGTGGTCCACAGACCCTAGGTTGGCGACTGCTGCTTTAAGGGACCCCACCAGACTTGCAACCAGGGGAGCTATGGGCAGTAGCCGCTCATCCCATGCTAACCCCTGAACCTGTTCCCAAGGCCCCCTTTTTCTGACTCTCCAGTGAGCTGACAGCAGCCCCACCTCGGCTCACTTCTTTCCTATAAGCTTTCTAGAGAGCCAAACCAGCCCCCCAAGGCTGTCTCCTGCTGCTTCTTCTATCCTAGGACCTTCCTTGTTCCACTGTCCCAGCTTGAATAAACATACTCAAAACCACCTGGACTCTTTCCTGCATGAGGTCAGGAACCCACACACTACAGGCCAGCCAGAGGCAGAGCCACTCTGGCCTGGCCCCTTTCAGGTTGCAACTGTCCTGCCTGCTGGCTCAATGATTTGTATTTCATTCTGTATAAAATTAGAATTTTTAAGTAGAGACATGACAAGATTAAAACTATATTTGTTGTTCTAGAGACCTTGTGATATATTTCCCAAGGCGACATGTAATCATACACTCCCCTCACCATACAAAATGTAGTACTTAAAATTCAGTTGAAACATGAATGAAAACCACTTTCCTTTCATGTATAATGAACTTTCTATCATGGCTGGGAAGTTAATTAAAAGTTAACTTCCACAATCTACAGTCGAGAAAACTCTTTAATCAAGAAGAAAAAGGAAATTACAGGAAATTTTTATTTAAAAATTAGTATTTTTCTCTTTTTAAGTTCTTATTTCCTGTGAAGAAAAGAAAATTTTGAGACTGGGAGAGATTTCTTGTCCTCAGAAAGCAGTTTTCTTGAAATTCAATTATTCTCATTCAAATTCATGTTAATCAATATCTGGATTTCTTTACTTGTCATGTAACAAGGAATATTTCTTTCTTAGAGCAATACAATGTTGTAAGAATTAAAAAGGAAAAAAAACAATTACTGCTACATAAAATTCTTGATCATTTTAAACTACCTTTTCTTCCTTTATGTTTGTTTTTTTTAATATATTTTATTGAACTTTCACAGAGAGGAAGGGAGAGAGATAGAGAGCCAGAAACATCGATGAGAGAGAAACATCGATCAGCTGCCTCCTGCACATCCCCTGGGGATGTGCCCGCAACCCAGGTACATGCCCTTGACCGGAATCGAACCTGGGACCTTCCAGTCCGCAGGCCAACGCTCTATCCACTGAGCCAAACCGGTTTCGGCCTTTATGTTTTTTAACTAGAAGTGGGTGAAGCGCTAGCTTCTGTGCTTACTGATGGAGTTAAAATCTATGGAACTGTAAACTCTAGTGTAATTAAAAATTAAAATGATCTCAGGGTTTCCATGGAAATAAAGACCTCATGAATAAAGAATTACTATTATGCAACTGATATAGAAGTCTGTTACTGTGAAAGCCACACATTGTTTTACAGCTACTAAAAGCTAATGTTTTTTTTTTGTTCTTGCCTATTTCCCTTGGTTAAATTCTTCTTGAAGGTCTAAATATACCCATGTTTTTTATTACTAAAAACATTACAATATATTTTCAAATGTTAATCAAACTTAAAAAGATGGAAAGATCTTAAGAGAGTGTATTTACATAAGAATTTCAAGATCTAAAAAAAAAGAATTTCAAGATTTAATTGGCTTTAAGCGATTCATGAATAGGATAGCAACTTAGAAGGATGCTTAGTCATCTTTTAAAAGCCAAAATTTGTATTGCCAACCAACCATATTTTAGGTAAAAGCAAAATAAGTGAAAAGTAGAATAGTTTATTAAAAGTTGAATAATGGCTTTAACCGGTTTGGCTCAGTGGATAGAGCGTTGGCCTGTGGACTGAAAGGTCCCAGGTTCGATTCCGGTCAAGGGCATGTACCTTGGTTGTGGGCACATCCCCAGTGGGAAGTGTGCAGAAGGCAGCTGATCAATGTTTCTCTCTCATCAATGTTTCTAACTCTCTATCCCTCTCCTTTCCTCTCTGTGAAAAATCAATAAAATATATTTTTAAAAAAGTTGAATAATGTATAAAAATGACTTTTAAAAATTGATAGTTTAAGGCAGCTAGTTAAGCGCCCTGGCTAATGGGGCTCAGTTGAGTGTTGTCCCATGCACCAAAATGTTGTCAGTTTGAGTCCCAGTCAACCCCAGTAGGGGGCGTGCAGGAGGCAGTAATTATAAATACTTCAAGTATGGAAAGTGGTGTCTCTCATACGAAACAAAGTGATTTTTCTCTTTTAGACCCACAAGACCATCTTCTTATGAGGTATTTTGGAGGAAAGGAGAGAAGAACAGAAGGATAAACAGAAAAGAGAAAAATGAAGGAACATAAGAGAAAGTGGAAAAGAAGAATAAAGGACTTTATATTCAAATCTGATTTTAAGGGATCTAGATTTCATTTTTAAATTTTCCTAATTTTCTCTTGCCTTTGCCAAGGAATCTTTTAAGGAGGCAATTTCATAATTCCTTGAATATATTTTGAAAGTTTCTTCTTGCTTTAAAATGTGGACAGGCCCTAGCTCAATTGATTAGAGCATTGCCCTGATATACCAAGGTTGTGGGTTCAGTCTCCAGTCAGAGCACATACAAGAAGCAACCAATGAATGCATAAATGAGAGGAACAAAAAATTAATATGTTTTCCCCCTCTGTCTCTCCCTCTCTTGCTCTTTGCTCTAAAATCAATAAATAAAATGTGTGTAGACAATTGTATGTTTGGGATGCTGCTCTCTTTGTGCTTGAAAGTAACTCCCAAAAGAATGATTTTGTTCATATAACAAGTTCCTCAAAGTAACCACTGTAATTCCAAATAATGCTTATATCATTTAGAAACTTTAAGATTTGTTTTTGATTCTAATATAAATACATATAAGATGCAGGAGTTCAACCCAGTTGGGTACAGAACTAGACTAAAAATAAACCTATGAGTCTGGCAATAGTCAGTCAAATCGTGTGCACCTTTGTTTCTTGGGGACCTCCCCCTCCAAAAGAGAACTAGATCTTCATGATAAAATAACACAACAGTGAGTAAAATTTGATAAGATTTTCATAAATGACCTGAGGCCTTTTTCCAAAGGATGCCAGTCTGAAGAGTAGTCTTCTGAGTAAACTAGATTACACCCACCTTAATACCTCTGGACTTCTTCTTACAGATTAACAATGAAGAAATGACAAGGACAAACACACAAAAGTAGTGTCAGCAATAATGCAGATTTCTACCAAAAATACGTTTTCAAACTTGATCTGGATTTTTAAAAAGAGCCTCTTATTCCTAGATACCACTCTCAAACTAAACAAATTAAACATCATTTGGAGTGGTTGATGAAGAAAAATAAGAAATCAAAGCTGAAACTCAATATGAACTTACCTTGCCATCGTCATTGGAGAGACCCTGTGCAGAAGACTCAAAGGGCCTCAGAAAGCACGCTATTTCCAAGTTGACCAGATTTTTATAGGTCCTCCAAGATCATCAAATGCTGGCTCCTTTAAAATACCTCCAAAATAACCTGTTGATAGAGCAGAACTGAGTTTTTTGCTTACTGCAGTAAGGGAGGATATCTTAATAGTCTTTGTAGTGTCTTATGGGAGAAGTCAGAGGTACAATATGAGTTTTGGGGATCTAGTTTAAGATGAGTTTCAAAGCAGGGGATCTGGTTGGGATTGGGACAGTTTTTACATAGGAGTATTTTATATAAAATAGTGTTTACACCTAGTTTTTGACTGGACAGAGGGAGGTGAGAGTTTGGAAGTGATTCTTTTGCAATCTTCTGCCTTCTCACAGTAATCTGCTGTTCCCTCCACAACCTGCATTGCTCATCAGCCTGGAACTTCTTTAATATACGATGCTTTACATTTGAGTAGATAGTACTTATCACACCATTTCACAATTGGCTAATTATGTATATGTCTGCCAATACACAGTGAGTCCTCATGGGGTTAGGATGAGGTTTTGTTACTATATCTTACAGTCCGCAGGTAATAGTGTCTGGTTCTCAATGGATATTTAGTCACTGTTGATTGTAGCTGGAGTAAAACAAACACGCTGACTAATCTGAATTTCAATTTATGAACATAAACCTCAAATGAACCCTTAATCAAGTAGACCCATTATAATACAGGGATGGGCAAAAGTAGGTTTATAGTTGTAATACAAATAAATAATAATAAATAATACAAGAAGAAAATGTGTTTCACCTACTCACAACAGTAAACCTACTTTTGCCAACCCCTTGATTATACTTCCTTAGTCTAATTACTCTCCTACTAGCTTTTGTAAACTCCCCCCACACCCACCTTCACACTTACCAAAGGACCTTGCTTATTTCACTGAGAAAACTGAAGCAATCAAAAGATAATTTCCACAAACTCTCATTTGTTCCCACCTACTAGCATCTTTACCCATGTAGGCTGCCTTGTCATCTGTTCAGAGATGAGGTATCCATGCGTCTATCTAAAGTCAGACCCTTTCCTTGGGTGCTAGATTCCATCCCCTTTCTCTTACCCAAAGACATTTCTTCAGCAATTCTCTCTCCTTGACTATCCCAACTCTCTTCGGGTTTTCCAATTATTTTCTATAAGGACACACCAAAATCTTAAATGCAGATGGTCATTCATTCAAAAATATTTCCCATGCATCTACCACTGTGATACATCTATGAATAAAAAAAAAGACAAAGGTCCCTGCCCCATGCAGTTTAGAATCTAGTAGGTGGAGATGATCAGCTGCCTCCCGCATGCCCCACACTGGGGATGGAGCCCACAACCCGGGCATGTGCCCCCGACGGGAAGCGAATCCAGGACCCTTTAGTCCACAGGCCTGGTGGGCTGGTGGGAATGGGCATCCTTCTGGTCCCTTGTGAGCCTTAAGAGTTGTTCCCTCACTGAGTCAAACCAGCCAGGGCACTAAATTTATTCTTGAGGGAACAACTCTTGAGGCTCACAAGGGACCAGAAGGATGCCCATTCCCACCAGCCCGAGTAGAAAACCGCATTAACTCAAAAGCACAGTGTAGAATACTCCAAAGGGTTTTGCTTTAACAGTGAAACAAAATGAACACTAGATTAAATGCTGCTCTGGTCCCACTTAACAAGGCTTGAAAGCAAGCCTTTCCAGGAACAAACTGTTTTCAAGACACCTGTGTCCTAGACAAAACTCAGTAACATTTATGTAAATACAAAAATATCTAGTATCTAACAAGGTAAAAATTATATCAAGCATGCAATCAAAAGTTACAAGGAATTCAAAGCAGGAAAACATACAAACATAATGAGCAGAAAAATCAATCAACTGAAATTGTCTCAAAAAAAGTTGAATTAGTAGAAAAGGACATTAAAATAATTTTTTTTTAAATATTTTATTTTTTTTACTGAGAGGAAGGGAGAGGGATAGAGAGTTAGAAACATCAATGAGAGAGAAACATCGATCAGCTGCCTCCTGCACACCTCCTACTGGGGATGTGCCTGCAACCCAGGTACATGCCCTTGACCAGAATCGAACCTGGGACCTTTCAGTCCGCGTAGACACAGATAACCATATGGTGGTTACGAGGAAAGAGGAATGAAGACTAGTAAAAGATAAACAGGGCCAAATACTAATATATGGTGATGGAAGATGATTTGACTGTGGGTGGTGGCACACGATGCAATATACAAATCATGTATCATAGAAAGGCACACTTGAAATCTATATAATCTTATTAACCAATGCCATCCTAATAAATTTAATTTTATGAAAAGATAAATTGGACTTTATCACAATCAGAAACTTCTGCCCTTTGAGAGATCCTGTTAAGAGAGGTGAAAGATAAGCTATGACCAGAAAAAAATATTTGTAAATTACATTTCTAATAATGGACTTGTATCTAGAATATACTTTTTAAACCTCTATAATAAGAAAACAATTCAGCTGAAGAATGGATAAAAGATTCAAACAGACACTTCACTAAAGAAGATATACAGTTGGGAAAAAAAACAACATGAAAAAATGCTCAACAGTGTTCATTAGAGAAATGAACATTAAGACCACAATGACTTATGTGGTTGTTACTAGTATATTATTAC